TCTATAGACCTTACTGAAATGATATGAGTTATTGAAATTAGAGAAATTAGAAACATTTTAAAGCTCAAATTATTTTATGAAAAATAATAAAACAATTCATAAAATGCGACAATCATTTAATACGAATTTTTAAAGAGTTAAATTATATGTAAAATTATTCAATACTTTCAGATAAACACATTTGACTCAAAACATATACATACGATAGTAAAAACCACAAGTCTATATAAATCGTATCATTTATTTTACTATTATTAAATATATATATTTACGTTCTTTATTTGATTTCACTAGACAAATAGCTTCCATGTAAATTTAGAAATAAAAAACTCAAAATAAACCAATAGGTAAAAACGAAGAGATTTTAAAAATATGTCATTTTAATATTATTTAAAACTCTGAAAATAAAACAATTTTCATCGTAACAAAAATCATTTTTTGAAATATATTTCAAAATAAATTATTACTAAACTTTTACCGTAATTTTGGATGAATATTTTGTGGCAACAACAAAAGGACATTATATAATTGAAAATATATATCATATTGATCGTTTGGTTGATCTTTTGGCGATATTAAAACGTTGCTTGGCTTCATTAAACGTCTATCGAATATATTAGGTAAGAATAGATGGGGTGCTTGATTGATATTTTGGAAGATGCCTTATAAATGCTTTTGTTATCGTCTGCTCCTTTCATTCCTTTGGCGGGAAAATGCATTTTTATGCTGTTTCTTTTCTATGCCCCATCATTTTTATATATATATATCTATTTTTATTATTAAAATATATAGTAATTTCGCACGTTTTTTATTAGAGAATTACTAATATAGTTAGTATTTTTTAATAATCATATTCAAATTTTATTGTAATTCTATATACCGTATAATATTCGCTTGATTTATCAATAATTTTATTATTTATGGTTGATTTCTCTCTAAGAAAATTAGTTTTTTTTATATTTTACAATTTTTTAATTTGTTCAATAGTTTTTGTTTCATTTATAAATTTAGGAAAATATAGGTTAGATCAAAAATTAAGCTTTAAATCGATTATATTTTATATTTTTTACCGTTTTGCATTAGTATTGCAATATTTTTATAATAATTAAGATATAAAAGTAAATAAAAAAAAGAAGTTTTGAAAAATATAATAATAATAATATACATATATATTTTCAACACGATAGAATTTTTGACTCTTTTATACATATATAATATTTTTATTAATTGAGCATAAAAAGAGATTAGTTATAAATATATATAAAATACCTAAAATATACATAATGCAATAAGCAATATATATGTTAGTTAATAAAAATAAATCCTTATAGCTCTTCAAATTTTTAGATTAAATTAATATTTCACTTTTATTCGACCAAGACCAATATATCTGCACATTTTCTTATATTAAATATGTATTTCTCCTATATATTTTTTTTTCTCATAGTTCCTCGAAACTATATGTTATATGCTAAATATTCCTTGAATTTGAAATAATCATTTATAGGCAAATTTAAACCCATACCAAGAAAATTTCCATAAATTATGAAAATAAATCTATGAGAGATATATAAATACGGATATATTTAATCTAAGAAAAATGCATGTAAATACATATTTTCAAATGTTGTTATGTATTAACACAAAGCAATAACGCGCCATCTATACATATAAAATAAAAGGATTTAAAAGCGCGAATGTTTCTTTTATACATAAAACAAACTTCTACTGTCCTTACTGCGATGAAAAAATATATTGGGAGGGCTTGGCTCATCAGTGGTGAACCCTCCCAGCGGTTTCGCCAATTTAATCCACCAGACCGCTTCTCAGAGCTCTAATATTGTATTGGATCATTCTACTTTTATATGCTACACTGAAGGATGGAATCTTAGAAATGGTTTTCAAGTAAACTATGGACATAAGCTTATAGGACAGTAGAATTATATCCAAATATTCGCTTCGAGCAATGCTCTTCAGCAAACTATAAAGACAAGGTCATTAGGAATAAATTAACACAAAGCAATAACGCGCCATCTATACATATAAAATAAAAGGATTTAAAAGCGCGAATGTTTCTTTTATACATAAAACAAACTTCTACTGTCCTTACTGCGATGAAAAAATATATTGGGAGGGCTTGGCTCATCAGTGGTTGTTATGTATCTTTCACAACTGCTACATATACAATATTGCAACATATACTATTATTGTGCCTTCTACATGCTTAGGAAAAGCATTTTAAGGCATAACTCATAGTTAGGAGTCTCCAAGCGCCCGCCGCAATGGAGGGCCAAGGAAAGGGCTGGAGAGGCGACGGCGAGGCCGTGGGCACCCCGAGGGAGAGGAGGGCTAGTGCGCGCCGTTTTGAGGGAACCAAGGCAGCACCAAGCACAACTAAGGCGCCGCAGGCTTCAAAAATAGTTAAGAGTTCATTTCAGGGATCGAGACCGGAGATCAAGACCCAGAGCTCAAGAGGTCTGGCTTTTATTGTCTGGCTTTTATAAATATTGCAACATATACGATATTTATACACTTTTAGTTTGGTCCAAAGTCGAAAAATCAATGCGTAGTTTTCTGTGAATATTTATTATTTTCTCTTTTGTTTATGTTGATTTTATAATTACGCAGAATACCAAGTAATATAATATTTATTATAATCTAAAAAAAAAATATTTCTACACACACACATATTTCTTATAATTTATAATTCCTTAAACTTGAATATAATCAAAAAGAGATATAATATTAAATTCATAATATTTTATTCCATTAAAGAAAACCATTCTTTTTATTTATTTTTCTATATAATATTTAAACCAAATTATAATTTAAAACAATTTTTTTCTACGTATTTATGTCCTGATTTCTATTCAGGAAATTGCTTTTTTATGTTAAAATGTCTTGCGATCAAAGAAATTCTTTCTGGAAAGTTCCTGTGACAATTTGCAAGAGAATCGTCAGACGCTGGCAGCAGCAGATCAATGGTCGTAACGTAAATCTGCCCCGAGTTCTGCTGCTATAAAACTAGACGCCAAATCTGATAAGGTAGTTTTAATGGCGCCCCAACATTGGGTAGGATTTTAAATTGTGTTTACCTACATCTGCATAACTCTGCAAATCTATGCTTCTTTCTGATTTACTATAAATAAGGCTGTATTTCTTGATAAAGTTTTTTATTAATATTATTTAAGAATATTTAGGGTATATATGTAGGGAATTATATATACTCGTATATTGGAGTTTATACTAAAACTTATTAAAGTAGATTTTTTCGATAAAAAATGTATATCTGTATAGATTGAGGGTTTTCTCTTTATATGTTTAAGAAAGGATAATAGAAATCACAGAAGTTTGCTAATTTATTTGGAAGCTTCAGAGGATGTCTTACTATTTCTCAATCTATAATATAATGAAAAACATTTCTTTTAAGTTGATAAGTATATATCAAAAATTTAAATTCGCAGAATTTACCTTTTGGACCATTAATTTTTTAGCAATATTTGCTAATTATTTGTATTATATCACTTTAAAAGAAAGAGAGAGTCTTTCTCTGTAGGTTAAAAGTAAGCACGAATAAAAAATCAACATATCTAAATAGTTAAATAGTCCTAGTGGACATGGCATCTGCCCGGTAAGCGGAACATTGTGGGTTCGATTCCCATCCTTGGACACTTTTATTTTTCCGTTCATCATTACTCTTCATAATTCACCCTTTCATACCTCATCCAAAAAGGTTAGAAATAGTCAATATTTCACCTTGAAATAAAATTTTGATTTTTCATTGAAAAGAAACTCATGCGGTGTAACTTCAAGTGTTGTTTTACAATCACAAGCCGCAGTGTATTATATATAATATTTCTAAATAGTTCTAGATCCTTAATTATGAAAATTAATTGATGCATAAAATATACGAGATATGTAAATGTATTTCATTTTTTCAATATGTTAATATTTTAAATCCCTCCAACACTACATTATCTGAAAATTGCAAACGTAAATGTTACATATATAGGATCAATTGTGATTATAAGAGGAATGATTTTTAATTGGTTGATTTATAATAGGCAGAAGACAGGTTGAAATTTGAAATAAATAAAGGGGTATTCTTTTAGTAATTTCCTCTATTCCCTAATAATTTTCCCTCAAACTACAATTACATTTGTGTGTTTACACTTAGACCTCAAAACCAAATCTTCTATTCCGAAAAATATCTATCTTCAATCGCATGAATAAGTTTAAACTTAGCTCTCTAGGGAGAACACATCCTTCCAATAATACTGGTATAAATATTAAAAAGGCATATCCTGACCAGAAGCACCTGTGCTTTACAGATGCCAGAGCGCCATCTGGTGGAACAGAATCAACTAAACATTGATTTAGCCTGTTCCCTGATATTTGACCATCTGTAAAGCACATGTGCTTCTGGTCAGGATATGCCTTTTTAATTTTTAATATCAACACCTGATTTTTTTTTCTATTTTTTTTTCATATATATATATATATATATATATATATATATATACAATTACATTTTTAAATAAAACTTATACCTCCTCACCACATATATTTCAACAATTTTCTCTCTAACTTTTCAATTAAATTTCTAAGTTTAAACTTGAACCTCTAGACTACATCCTCTATTCCAATAATATATCATATAAAATCCTTTTGGACAGAATTTAAACTTCACCAGAATATTTTAAAACATTTATCTAACTCAACCGGTCAGAGTTTACACTTCCAGACCACATTTTATTCAACATTTATCTTTCTCAACCACACTTATAAATCCACATGCTATTTACTTCAGCATCAGGCGGCGTTTTATTCATTGTATAGGTTTTCCTGTAGAAGGGCAGAGATGCCTGAAAACTTGAGATGGTTTAAATAAAAGGAAACTCATCTACGTAAACCTTTTAAATTGTTTAATATAATTTCTAGGTAACAACCTACGGGAGGAATGACAAAAAAACGTTATTAATACGGGTTATCACACAAAAAGCAATAAACTAGGGAATCGAACCCACAGTGTTCCGCTTACCGGGCAGATGCCATGTCCACTAGGCTACCCTGGACATGCAATAAACTAGGGCCTACAGTAAGAGTAACTTAAACACAGAAAAAGGTAAACTCAAGAGTACAACAACAACAATAAAAGAAGCAAAAAAAACCCGCACGATTTGCTATATAAAAACAAAACAGTACTTATCTTTTATTGTAGCTTTGGTAGGGAACGGACCGAGGTCACACAGGTAAGCGAGGAGATTACCAAACACAGATAAATCACGCAGAGAACACTTTAAGCGTCTCCACACCAAATATCCACCACAATCTATCTCGCAATACCATAGCCTTCTTATATAAACAAACATGGCTACATTCGTCCAATGAGAAGGTGGGAGAGATTGGTTCACTGTCAAACGTAAACAAAATCCTTCCCAGTAAAAACAAGAGATAAGATTTTTTTTTAAATGCAAATATTTGTCAATATAATTTGACAGGAAAGCTACAAATAAACAGAAACAGCATGGACCAGGTCAACTATACTCTCTGTAGTAATAATGTAGAACAATTGTGAAGTCCTGTGGACCTCAACGTCAATATGTGTGGGGGGGGGGCAACTCTCCTCTCAGCTCTCATCCATCTAACCAATCAATGATGTCCAGATAATGTCCCCCACACATTCACGCCTATGCTAGTTCACAAGCTTCTTCTCATCTTCTCATTTAGGATTTCTTCCATATGCTGTTGCTTCGAAACCCTATAATATAGTTATAAGAAAAATTCACTTTAAATCTCTCTCTTTTCTTTTAATATCTTTTATAAACTTAGTTTTTCTTTGATTTTTTTTATATAGCATTGCAAACTTAGCGCCATCTCTCGCTAAAAATGTGAAACATTTTAAAAACTAATTTATAAGCGAATATATGTATATACTCATGGACAAAACTTAAAGAAGTTGTACCTTTTAGCATGTATATCGGGATTCAGATAATAATAGATACATGATAAAAGGTACAACTTTCTTAAGTTTTGTTCTTGAGTGTAAAAACTAATCGTTGATTCAGAATTATTTCAGGATATACAAATCATCTTTCCTGGGAAATCAAGAAAGCCAACCACGTACGGGTTTCAGACTGGTGGCCCTCATCAGCCTAGTGCAGGTGATATCATAACGATTTTCTTAACTTATCTACAGACATCAGTACAATTTCACTATTTTTTCTTTAATAAATGGAGTGTAAAATAGAAGAAGCATATTATTTGCCCCCCAATATATATATGTAGTACTATCTTCTAACAAATCAATTAAAAACAAAAGATAACTAAACAAATACATGAATCTTAATCTAAAGATATATACTTGCAATTGGAAATAAAACTAAATATAAAGACATATTGCAATATGTTTATTTATTATAAGTTCGGCTAGCTTTCGAAAGTTAGCTCTTTATCGGGAAAAAGCCTTAGGAAGAGTTAAAGCTTGAAATCTCTCTTGCCGAATTATTAATAAAGAAGAACATTACAATTTGTCTTTTTGAAATTTTTATTAAATTTGTTTATATATAAAATAAAGAGTGCACACAAAGTAAAATAAAAAAATACAATATACATAAGATTTGATAAATTAAAAAAAATAAAATATCAGAAGATAATTTTAACCCAAACGCTACTCATATTCCACGCGCGATTGATCGCTTTTGATTAAATCTAACTAAACAGACGATCAATGAGAAAAATTAATGTATCGAATTTTTTTTCCCCCGCGCTAACAATTATGGCGTCTGCTTTTAAACTGATTCGTCTGGTATAAAATGGATGAATGAGGAAGCTTCCAACCACCTCTACCTGCTTAAATCGATGCAGACGAACACGCTCGCACCCCTTCTATTATTAGAACATTGATCTGCCCTCATCTTTTGGCAAAATTTAAATGAAAATTTAACTTGACGGACTCCTCTCCCCAACGAAAGGGTTTTTAATTCTTATTTAATGTATTTTATAACATTATTTTTTTATGTTTTTTTTTTTCAAAATACGTTAGTAATAATGATTTATCATTAAGCGAAATATATTTTGATTTTATAAATATGAATTGTATAATATATGGTTCTATATTGTTTATAAAGATAATATTGGAAATTTAGAAAAATCGTAAAGATTTTTAGAAATTTGCATTTTTCTCCCATTTTTTGATATTGTTTCTTAAGATTTGCATATTTTCCAAGTAATTTATATATAGGATAGGAGATAGTAATGAATAAGAAAGTGAAAAATTCTAATTTCTGGGATATTTTAACAAATAACGATATTTTCCAAGTTATTTAGCAGAAGGTATGTTGTTATGAGAAATAAAATGAAAATCTAGGCAACTACGAGTATGACAACGTTTTAGTTAGTTGAAGAAGGGCTTGCTCGAAAGCTTCCTTTAATTATGCAAATAAGATTTCGGTGTCAGATTTTTGTAATTTTTCTACATTCTCTTTATGAACGTGTGATGTGTTTGGTGGAAGAAAATGAAGAATATTCCAAATATAATCACCAATCAAGTTTATTTTACTTTACAAAGTATAAAATTCTAAATTGTCTCATTTTCTTATATATAGGTACACGAATACCTTATGTTTAAATGATGCATAATTGGCCTTTTGTGAGTTATTTGAGGAAGATATTTTCTCCCAATGCAAATATTTACATGTAATTCTGCTGTTCTTAAAGCGTATGTCTCCATAGGTTCCTCAAATACCATAACCAATAATTTCTCTACAATGTCGGTTATATAGAGATACAATTTGGCAAGAAAAATAGGACTAATATTTTCAAATACATCGATGGACAGAGAGAGAACTTAGAGAATTTATATCTTTTAGCATGTATATCGGGATTCAGACAATAACTCTAAAAGATATTTGATACATGTGTGAACAAAATTGCCTGTCTCTTAAAAAAACAAAAAAAAAAAGATGACCGATGACATCAAAGACTTTCCACTTCCTTAAGTTTTATTCATGAAGGTATCAAATACAAAAATAAAATGGCAACAACATAAGAAACTCTTCTCATTCAAATTATTATGAAAGCAAACAAGGCAAGCAATTGGGAAGTTCAATCCAGGAAATGGTCCTGTTTTTCTCCTAATGAAGAATACATGTATTCTTAATACAATATTGAAATGATCTGGAGTATGTAATTGGTGAAATCGTTACAAGGCTTCATCACTGATGAGCAAAGCCCTCCCAATAATTTTTCCATCGCAGAAAGGATAGAATAAACCCAATATGATATAAACCTATTATAGTTGAGTTTATTATAATCATATATAGCGCTTCACATTCACCTAGTTATACAGAAAAATACACTCATAGTCAAAACTTAAGATAGTGGAAAGTCTTTCATATCACCGGTCGTCTGTTTTCTTTTTTATGAAGACAGAGGCAATATTGTTCACACTTGGTTATCTCGTGTGTCTTCAATAAAAGTCACTGCGTATCAAATATCTTTCAGAGTTATTATCTGAATACCAATATACATGCTAAAAGGTACAAACTTCCTTAAGTTTTGTCAATCAGTGTAATATTTTTTTAACATAAAGGGTTTCATCCATGAAAGTTATCAGTGGTCGATGACATTTCTTTCTAATTATAAAAATATTTTAAACTCCACGCGAAATATTCTCAAGATATTTCCCATCTTTACAGTCTTAAACTAACGCTCTTTCTACACAAAATGTAAATTTCACAAACTAAAGAAATAGTAGGTAAAAATGGCACAAAAAATATCTCAAAGAAAAACACAGGTTTAAAATAAAAAAATTCATATTTTCTCTCCAATAAACCATCATTATATGATAAAATATTATCAAATAAATATTTTCCCTATATGTTTATTTAAAAGGAATGAAAAAGATGGCCGATAATCTGAGGATCAAATTAGATTTTTTTTCAATTGGTCCTAAGTCAAACAAATTTAAACAGATATTCTATGAGAGAATAAATTCGAATAAATATTGCATCTTTTTTTTCTTTTTTTTCCATGTTCGCTTTTTTTAGAGCGTGTAAAAAAATATGTATATATGTTCTGAATATTTTATTAAGTATATATATATAAATAATACGAAAATAAAAGTATTTTTATCTTCTACAAAGAATATTTACATTATACATTTGTTCCTATTATTAATGCATTTTTAGTTCTTTCTCATTTGTGAAACTATATATTATTTATTTAGATAATTTATATCTTTTTCTTATTTTTGGTAAAACAAATATATTAGATTGACTTATTTATTTATTAAAAGAACGATAAAATTTCTTCTCATTATATAATTTATATCCTTTCTTTATATAACTTGATTTTGTATTTTTCTCTACGAATGTCAGGCATTTTTTTTTACAATAAATTTCTATTTAAGGTATTATAATCATCCAGAAATATCCCTTGGCTATAGAGAGATAAACGATTATTATTAGTTTAAAGTAGAGAATTTTTATTTTTATACAATAACACATTGGTTTTGGACGTATAGTTAGCTGAAGAAGGGATTTCCCGAAAGCTTTCTTTAATGAAGTAAGTAAAAAGAGTCGCGACGTGTCTTATGTCTTTTTTTGTAATTTTTCATAACCCGTAAACCTGTGATAATAAATATTGGTAAAAGCTTTCAAACTTTATCGTTGTTTCACCTCAGAAAGAAAACCTGTAGAAAGACGATAAAGTTTGTACAAATAGGTTGATGTCTTATATTTATATTTTAATAATATTATATATAATAATAATTTTAAAACCACAGATTATTATATTCTGTGATATATTGTATATATCATAATATATAATTTATCATTATCATTCTATTTTTAACTTGTAATTCTTGAGTTTGCATCTAATGCGGTGTAATATAATAAAAGCCATTTGAATAAATAAGACCTAAATTCTATTCATACTTTTAAATCAATCTAAATACACCACAGTTGTAAATCAAAAGGAAGTTCTTTACTTCCTAAAGAGGAATGATGATTGTTTATTGATCATTTCTTATTAAAGTAATTCGTATTTTCTTTAAAATTTCATAATACACCTATCCCC